TAATTAATAAGAATCAGTCATCGATCGGTCCTTCCTTCAATTCGAAATAAAGCGTCACTTTGATCGTTCCACGACTAGTGACGCGTTATCGCGTCAAAGAATGGCGATAACACGGTTTCTCGCTCATGGGTTTAAGAGCCGTGTGAAACAACGAAGAACCTCGCGGCAAACAGGTGTGACGATGGCATCGCCGGTTTAATCCCGAGCGACGCTCCGTCTCAACGAGTTTGACACCGGGTTGTCACCGGAACTCTGTGGAAACGGAAAATGAAAAAGGCTGAACGAGATCTTACATGTCTGCCGATTCTCTAGTGAACGGGAAACCACACGGCCCGACATCACTCTTCTTCTCTCTCTCTCTCTCTGTGCCTCTCTCGTTCTCTCTGCTGTCTCCTTTGCGCTTTCTCTATACGGTAGTGCGATTCAAATGGAATTAAACGCACTTTTCTCAGCCCCTGTCCGTGTGCCACCGCTTCCATTGCACGTTTACACGCAGACAACCGTGGCACACTCGCGAAAAGATCGCGCAGCGGCACGCCGCCATTTAATTACGCCTTGAAAAGGTTGGTGGTAGGCAGACAGGTCGGCAGGTCTGTAGGTTGATACAGAGCGGTAGTAAAGGCCGAATGTATACTTACTTCCGTCCTTGCGGACTCTGGCCTCCGTACCTCCTGGCTGCTGCTTTCGCCCAGTGCAAACATGGATATGAAAGGTTGAGCTTTTGCCCCTTTGGCAAAAGCCTTCCAGGACCTCCGGTCCCCGGCTGTCTTTCCGTCTGACTGCGACTCCGGGATATGGCTGCGATAAAATTTGCTCTTCTCTCGTGACGTCGAGAGAGATTACAGTTATCCTGGCGAAGCCACACGGCCATCATGCAAATTGAAACCGTTCCCTCTTCCTCTCTCGTTCTCTCATTCTCTCTCTCTCTCTCTCTCTCTCTTTCTCGCTGTTTCGTTCTATCTCACCACTCAGCTTGCTTCTTCTATCTCTTTGTAAATACGTAAATATCTTTGGCGATTTTCTCTCCTGCAAAGCAGTTTCATTGTATTACCGTTTGTTTATTGTGACACGGGCGCCGAGTTGCAATTAATTTGTGCCTCGAGTGTCACCTGTCTCCCGTGTCCCTTTTGTGGTCGTTTGATGACTTGCCTACAGTCTTCGTACTTCTCTCTCTCTGGTTGCACTTGGTAACCCTGGCTAGTGGTTGGTTTGTTGCCGCCGATGTCTGAAAAGAGCGAACCCTTTAATCACGTATAGCCGTTTGTAAAATTCATCTCTGCACACCAAATATTTTTTTCACGAAAGTTCTTCAAAAACATCGTTCTTTAAATTTTGAACGGCCTGTATCTATAGAAATTTGAAGGAGAATTCTCGAAACGTCTTTTTTTCATCCGATCCACTGAGCAGAGGCTTAGGCACAAAACCATTATCGATCCTCGTCGAATCACAGGGACACGTATAAATTTTTCTACGCTCCGATAGACATTCCGGCTCGTTCTTACGTCGGAATCGTGCAATAACGCAAAGTCGACGAGAGAAACCGAATAAGAAATATAATTTCAACGCATGTCAAGCGGAAGATATTCGACATTTGTGCTGCCCCGTATCCAACAGATCCTTGCATTATGGGATTATCATTACGTGTGGCAAATATCTATTATAGAGCGTGGATGTTTCTGGCACGACATTCAGTAATATCGGCTAAGGCGATTACATTCGAGGCTACCTGTGTTTGGCTCTCCTTTGTCGAACGTTTCGACGAAACGATGTCAAAGAAACCCATGACGTTACGAGTACCATAATGACTCACGGCGTTTTTGTCATGTAATCTTTACTGCATCAGAAAAGACACATAAACATTTACAAAACGGATATATTTTAACAAATATATTTTATATATTTTTCTAGCCCTGACAAAGGGCTAATTTCATTGGAAACCTTTTTTTTTTTTTTTTTTTTACGGCATCTGCCGGTCGAGGAGATGCTGACATCTGGACGCAGAACGGGATAGATTGCCTCGCTCGAGCCACGCAAATAGGGGTGGAATTCGGTCGATAATGCAGTGAACGCACCCTTGTAAATACACCACTCCCCAGCGTTAGTAACAACTGGTAATACCTTATCTTCTCGAGGTTCACGTTTGCAATGTGATTCGTTAACTTTCAGACCATCTGGCAGTCTCTAATCAGCCGTAGGTATCGGCAAAAATATTTCAATATCTTGCCTTGATCCTTATCGAGGGAGATTATTTTATTTTTGTCGTATTTTCTTCGAATAATGAGGATTCTTTTCCTCGAGGTATTTAAGGAATCGAAATAGGTCAAGTGAAGCGAAGCCATCCGGGAATCGATGCGGACTCCGAAAATCAGACAGCGCGACAAAATTATTCATGCGTCCTCGTCGCCCTGCAAATAGAGCCTGATAACTTACTCGTCATTTCATTTTTCCGGCCGTAAAATATTCGTACGTCAGAGCACGAACTGTCACGATCGCACATCAGAGCGGGAACTGGTCCGGAGAATTCACAGGTACTGGCAAAGTGCCTTCGTTCTAAAACGCGAAATGGACATGGTGTAAGCGTGAAAGCGTGAAGGATCGTGGAAACTGTTTGGGATAACTGTCCGCCAGACTTAATGGCAATCTAAGAATAAATTTATGTCGGCTGTCTACTCAAAATGCTAATGCAGCTGCGAAATATTAGCGAGAAAAAGATAGAAGAAGAGAAGAAAGAGAGAGAGAGAGAGAGAGAGAGAGAGAGAGAGAGAGAAGCTGCCTCAAAGTCAACGTGCTTGGTTACAGTGTGCTTGTACTATTTAGAAGGCCCGACTGACGTGTTTGTAAATTTCGCATCATAATCATTCATGCGCCTGTCCGTCGTTGTTATCCAACGATAAAAATAAATTGTTCTTCGTAGATCTTAATTATATGCCTGCGTTTCTAATTAAGAGTTCGTTAAGCCAGGGATAATTAAAATTGATAAACTTCTATCGCAGTGGCTCTGCTAATTAACTCTTTCTGTGTTTTCGCCATTTTTCTTTTTTTCTTTATACTTTCTTTCCATTTATTTTTATTGCTTCTTGTAACATGTTTCGCCTCTGTCTATACGTCCCCTCTCCTTTGCTTTTTTTGCACGTCGAAATAGGTAAAATTGTGTGCAAATTAAAAAAGATAATTAAAAAGAAACGTAAAAAGAAACAGAAGGGACTAGAAGGAAGGATAAATACATCTGATTCCGAGATCTTCCGAGATGAACAAGGAGACGTAGAAAAAAGAAAAGGACAAGCGTCGATAACGCTTTATCGGCATCAAGTCTATTAACGATAAAGCCGCGCATTACGTATTTAATCACGCCCAGGAATCAAAAGCATTATCTCTACGTGAGAGGAGACATGTGTGATTACACGTCTCCCATCGCGGTGTCAACAAACCAATCAATGCGTATACGCTATCTGGTTAAGTATACTTCTTTCACGTCCTTGCATAAAGATACAACAGGGGAAAGGGATAAAAGTCGACCAATTATTACGTAATCCGGCTTCTAATTAGATTGCCGCGATACAAAATGCTCGTTATTCGGATTAAGACAATAAAAGGGAAGAAAATATAAATAAGAGATTCTATCCCCGGCCACTAGTCGGGGGCTATTTGCATTGAATTAAAAGCGCTCGGAGTACCGTAATTTTTCGGAAATATCTCTCTTTAACACACAGTCTCTCTTGACCAGCGCGAGCAATAAAAAGTGATAAACACGCACGCGGACGCTCGGATACAATGACAGACCTTGCGTTTAAATATACGTATATTTACGTAGAGATGGCCAATCGTTTCTGAAAATTACTCACTGCCGCGACAAGGTGCAACTTACAACATCCAGATAAAGTGCTCGTGTCTTTTTCCACGCTTTGTTTCGCTCGGCGGAGACACAGCGCGAGGAAGAAAGTAAGGAGATTCCAATTTCTCTCATTTTTCACGCTATCGTTCTCAGGAATTCGCGAATCGTTTCACCGATATTACACACAGGAAATATCACCACGAAACGAGAGCACGCAGCGTGAATCGAAGCTTCGTGCATTTTCAAACAATGGATAGATGTTTTTGAGATAACACAGGAGCGGTTGGTGAATAGAGGCAAATAACGCGCGAGCACGACGGCCCACGTGAATTAATTCGCTCGCGACTCGTTTTCCACTGTTGGAGTCATTGTTTTCATTTTTATCGAACCGCCATTCGAATAATTCCTCTCCGTGTAATTAGTGTAATTATGAGAAAAACAAATTATCCCGGGATTTTCCCGCGAATTCCCGGAGCTGCGTACATACCGCTGCCAGTGAACGGCAATGACTGCCGATCGATTGATTGAATCGAAACAAAATTGTTAACGGCGAGAACGGTACACGAGGAAGGTGCAAAACTGTGTTTTTGACGACGGGGCACAACGGGGTCGGCCACTTCGAAAATTGCGCTTCGAAAGAACCGGCATTAATCTCAATTAAAGGCCCCCCAAGGCCGCTCTATCGGAACTTTTCGTGTAATTCTATTTCCCCCGTTTCAATCGAATTTAAATTCGATAATCTGATTCGACGAAATTGCGCCCGATTTGCATTGGAAAATTTCGATGCGCGCCGCTCGGTCGCACCTGACGCGTGCGAATAAACTTTTCGAGGACAATAGGAGACGGTGAAGCGAAGGAGAAGATCGTGGATGGTGGAGAGCGAGAGAGACAGAAAGAGAGAGACAGAGAGAGACAGAGAGAGTAGAGCCTCGACTACGATCAGTCTCGTAAAAATGACATCTGATTATCAGCGTCACGTAGCAGCATGATGCCTTTAATTAATGAGAACCACGGTCACGTGATCGCCATCACAGTTCCAATTATCTAACTCTGGTAGATGGAGAGAGAGAGAGAGAGAGAGAGAGAGAGCGCGCGCGCAAGAGACAGATAAAGAGAAGCAGATAGAGAGAGAAGGGGGAGAAGGAAAAACGGAAAACCGAAGGAAAGAAAGAAATGTTCAATATCGCGGCAACGAGCACATTCCGCTCGATTGAGGGATTTCCGCAATTAGTATGAAAGCGGTCGCACTTGAATTGTCGTCGATGTTTACGCTCCGCGGAATAGAAACGCGTATCTGAGTGGTTGAAAGTGTGCGGATGGTGCACGCGACACACAACGCCGGCTATAATTTCAGAAGAATTCACGTAATTTCGAGCGAAGGAGAACGAGTGCTGTTTGGTGAGTTAACGAGTCGTTTAAAATTCTACGAAATCTCGTTTTTTCGCTACCGGAACCGACGCCCCGCCACCCAACACAGCGACGTTGAAAGTTTTTTTCCAATCTCCCCCGGCCCCGTGTTTCCTCGGTCGCTTCCATGGACGCGAGACGGTGTAATTGTCGCTCTCGGTCGCGAATTCGAATGAGAAAGGGAAAGAGAGAAAATTTCACGCGATTCGATTAAACGATCGTATTCGTGAAACCTTCGCCAGCCAGAACGTTTGATTACCAAGCAGGACGCGATGCTCGCGTAATAAACTAACCAGTAAAACAATTTTTCAAGGCTGGTGGTAGTAACGTTTCGCCCGTGAACGAGAACCCTGAACATTTCCCAGACCAGAGAAAAGTCGAGACGAAGGAAGCGAACGCTAACGAACTATATTGTGGACAAAATAAATCGAAAATAAAAAACAAGGTAACGCGGCTGGATGTTCCGTAGCCGCGTATCCTACCGCTCTCTTCCCGTCTTCCGACGGAAAAGGGAACTTGTTTGTTTTATTCGCTGGCTTCGATTCGCCCGAAGAGATTATAGCGATTCAGATGAGAAAAAGAGAAAATCACGCTTCTCGAGAGGAGTAAACTTCTCTTTCTCTCTCCCGTCTTTCTCTCCTTTTCACGACGACAGGAACGATCGTCTGCTACTTACATCTATTCCCTTATCCCTGAACATGCCAGCTGCTCACGCTAGATATATACAATACGTGTACATACATATGTGTGTAATATATTCGCGCTCGATCGCAATAAAGCGTCCTTATCGATCGGATGGCACCGGTAAATCAATTATATGCTGAATTTCTATTCTCTGCGTCACACAGCCTTTTACATTTTCGTTTTCTACGGTACGTCGCCGGGATCAACGAACTCATTTCCTCTTCTTTCGATCAGTGGCCCGATTTTAAAGGGGTCAGTACCATCGCGCTCCCAGATGTAATCACTTCAATACAAATACCAGTCAGTCCCCTTTGTAATTCCCCTTATCGTGCCTAGTAATTACTATTGCCACCCCGGCCAAGTTCTTTGTCCATTTGGTAAATATATTCGAGCCGTGTCGTAAAGAACTTCGCATCGATACGGGAAGAAGGTCGACGATTTCTCCAGCTAGCTGCACTGCGAGGAAATTAGCCAAATAGATTTCTCCCCTTGATACGTGGTACGATACGATACGATATGATACGATACGATCTCAGCTCGATTTTTATACGAAATATTGAAAAAGAGGAAGAGAGGAATCGCAGTCGAGATACTGAAAACACGTGGAATAGAGTGAAATTAAACGGAATTATTGAGTGGGATAGAAATCTGGAGTAATATCATAACAGGAAGTAATTTCATCGAATAACCAGTTATTGAGTTATTTAATTATTGGAAAATGTTACATAATAATATCATTTAACGAAGACGCCTTTACGCAAAGAGAATCCTGTCATAAAATTTCAAAGGCAACTTGGTGATTGCAGATATTTCAAAAGCATGGGAGAAGAAGGAGCAATCGCAATGTCGAGCCAGTTGGGCCAGAAGAAAGTCGACGTTGAAAACCCCCACTTGGGTTCTTCGAATAGTTGGGCAAATTCAGAAGTCTCCTCTGTCACGAAACGAAACATATGCAGCACGTGCGTTACCATTGTTGACCTCGTTAACCATGTACTTATCGTTTCTCTGACAGTGTTCACCTTGTACTACACGGTGGGTCCGTACGTGTCCCAGATACACGCAACCCTTTGCACTCTCGGGGTACGTATATCAACCGTTACACTTGTATTTGTTTGAAATGTACATTCTCATCTGTGCTTGTTGAGCTACAACGTTTTCACAGTCAATGCGAAATCTTTCCCTTTGCCGTTTCAACCCGTCTTCTTAACGAACAAAAATGTCCAGACAAACGTACAGACGGTCGACGCAAAGTAAGAAATTCGGGCGAAAGTTTCTCACGGTTTAATCGTCGAGAAGAAGGCGAAAGCTGCTTTGATCGCCGCGAGGCAAAAGGAAGGAATAAAGGAAGAGCGAAAAGAAGAAGAAGAAGAAGGAAAGAAAAAAAGAGAAGATTAGAAAGAACCTTAGAGTAAAAGTTTCGCGTGTAACCTTGCCCAAGAATACCCTCCGTGACGATTACCGTCCGATTCAAATTGCACCATTTATTTCTCACTTACACACGCCTCGTGCCTACCACACGGTAACGGCGAAATCGAAATTCAACTACGGGACCGAGTTCTCCCTATTCGAAACTAGCTCTCTCCTTCCATCCTCAGGGGGAAGGAGAGACGGCGCGGCTAACCAAAGTGGCCAAAGAAGTTCTAACGACTTCGCCGAACGACTGCAACTTCCGTAACCACTGACGACTCAATCTTACCCCTTTTCAGTACATCCTGATGATGTCGGAAGCCATTGTCGTGTTCGCCGATGACGGTGTCCTGACGAACTTTCTTACGCATCGTGCCAAGAAACACCTCCACTGGGTCCTGCAGCTTCTTGGCCTGATCCTCGTCATTGCCGGCTTCGTGCCTATGTATCTGGCGAAGCACTCCCACCACTTCAAGTCGTACCACGCGATTCTAGGTATCACGTCTCTGGTCGTGATGGTGTTTTTAACCGTGACCGGCTACCCTGTTTTCGTCGCGGCGAAACTTCGACAGGTAGTAAGACCGGTAGTAATTAAGTTCGGCCACAACTTCCTGGGTATATCGTGCTTCGTGATCGGTATGGCGTCGCAGTGCTTGGGCTACAAGTACACATCGCAAATGAATACTCCGTCGGTGAACGTTACGACGATCTGTATAATCGTGTGTGTTTCGATAACCTTGCTCTCGGTCAGGAAAGCTCTTCCAACTCTCTTTCAACAGTCCGCGAGATTATTTCGATAAAGAAACAACGGAATCTAGCCGTCGAATCTAGATCGGTGTTGCAGCTCGAGTACCAAAGTACGAGTCGAGGAATTTTATCGCGTTGTTTCTTTCGAAAGAGGGAGAAAAAGTGAAATGAAAACATTGATTTAGACGAGAAGGAAGGCTTGAAATCGTGGAAAACGTCAACTTATTATCGCGGCCTCTTTCGGTTAGGCAAACGTCTTTCGATAAGCAAACGGCTGTTACGACATAATTCGATTCTTGAAACGGTAGGCGAAACACGATTCACGCGCGTCAGCCTGATCGCAGCTGTATCCTGTATATATTGGAAAATACGTATTGCATCAACGAATGACGCGATCCCAACGAGTAATCAAAGTTCAATTATATAAAGTCATTACGCAGCAATGTTTCGAACGTATGTACATATGTGTCACCGCGCCGTTGTTACACGGCGATTCAAAAACGGACAGAGCCCGGCGGGCGTTTCTGTTTTCCGCGAACAAGACGATTAGCGTTGCATTATCATTTTGCCATTGAATTACATCGAAATCGTTCTTCCTCCGTCGGTAGCAGGCGTATTATTCATCGAGCCACGTGCTGTTATCTGTCAATCGATGATCTGGCACATCTGGCAATTCGATTAACTCTGGAATACCGCAAGGGAATACAATGGTCCCTGTTCATTTTTGTTTTCAGCCATTTTCGCGATATTCTAGCTCTTTGTTATTTATGCCTTCAGACGAAACTAAAATTACTCGCCCGATTGATCCGGATTTGTTCGAAACAAGTGGTTTCTATGTTAATAAAATTACTCTCGCGTGCGTACAAATTTTTATCTGTTTATTTATTTATCTTCGCGTAACGGCGATAGACACATAGTTGCAGCGTCGAAAGAATTAACGCGCATCGAAGTGTGAAATGTTGCGCGTACATTTAGCTCGTTATTGTCTGCTGAAAACTTTAGATTCGCAATTAACGCATTCGTCGACACACGATAAACTCGATGAAACTATCGTTTCAGAAAACGTTTGAAAAAGTTGTACGCTCTCGTCGACGCGCACCCGCCCGTGCACTCGCGTATATTTATTTGGCTCGACGTCGACACGCGAAACGTCTAACGAAATTCGCCGTCTGTAACGAATATTTATTCGCACGTGGCATCTGATTGCTATATTGGAAGGCGCAGACGACGCTTTCTCCAGCACGCGTGTACCCCGTATATACACGGTGCAAATATGTGGACGTATATTCATGTTCGAGCAAATACACACATACGGATGACGTTTACCCGAGCCAAACGTGAACGCATTTAATTAGGAGACTTCCGTCTCCTCCTCCATTACCTCACAGTTGACTTTCCTTTTTCCTTCTTCCATCGCGGCAGAAACGAAAATTGAAAAAGCAACGCGATCTCACGTTTGACAAACGCGACTCGAGAGACGTTAATTTAATGCGAAACGTTTGTCTCAGCGGCAATCGACGCGACCTAATCTCCGTGCGCTGGAGTATCGCTGAAAATCATCATCCGTTCGGAGGATTCGTTGGAGAATCGTCAGTTCGAACGCTCGGCGAAGCTTTTTGCCAGGGAAATTATTTAAATGGAAACCCGTTACATCGGGGATATCGTTCGCTAGAAAACATTTGTATTCTCGGCGTGGCTCGGCGTTACGTGAAATATTTGAACGCCTTATAGAAAGTAATTCCCGTTTCGCGTTTCATGTTCGCTGCAAAAAAATCCGTACTATTTTCCCAGTTGTTTTTTCTTCCTCCCTCTTTTTCTCTTTTTTCCTCTTTTTTTGTTTCAATGCACCATCGCTCGTGTTCCGGTGTTAATTGGTCACGGTGTTGGATTTAAATCATCGTACTGGTTATCGCATTTGCAAATTCGCTCGGAGATTTCGGCTTATTTTAAACTGCGGAGGCAAAAAAAGGGGGCGGGGGAGAGAAAAAAGAAATGCCGCGGCAGAAAATAAAACACGCGCTCGCGCGAAATGAGAAAGAAAAATACGACAGTATAATATGAATCCGATGGAATTATTAATCATTACAGTTCGTTATCGTTATTGTTTGTGCTCGTCGATTGATTCGAATTAGCTTGTTAAACCGTTAATTAAATTATTCGTCCCTTTATTAATTCGTTACATGCTAAATAAACGGCTCTAAATAAACTTTCCGAACGATATTTTTTCATCTGCTGAAATGCCGATTCGGAAAAACGGTACTCTATTTTCCGAGGAGCAAACGAGGAGTGAGTATAATGCACCTGTAACAGCGCTGGCCGCATGCTAAAATATGTAAAATTTTAATTAGAATTACATATCGTACCCCGTTTGTACCGACGAAAAATGGAATAAAGCTTTTGAAATCCTGTGTGAGAACGCCACGGTCCAGATACCTACCCCCGTGACGTCTAAGTTATTATAAATATTAACGTTATGTTCGAGCAACTGGAAGGGTACGTATGCACGTATACGCATGTACATACATAGTTTAAACTCCGTTAACGCCGAGTTCACCTATTGTATGAATAATTCACCCTCTCGCCGTCAACTTATAACGCATTAAATATTCACAGGGCGTACGTTAAATTCGCGCAGACGTTTGAATTTTTCATATTAAGACCAGCTGGTCGCTCATTTTCAACGTGTCTCTCTTCGTGATCTTTCATCCATATCGAATCGCACGGCGCCTAAATAATATTGAAAGTAACAGGGCGGTGGAGGAAAAAGAGAGAAGAAAGGAAAGAAGGGAAAATGGGAAAGGGTAACGAATTCGAGGAGAATCGACGTGCGAAGCGCTCGCGCGAAAGTTCCACGGGTGTTTGATAGAGGAGGGTGGGAGGGAGGCTGGGGAGGAGGCCATGCAAAAAGTTTGCTGAAAACCTATTTTAAACGCATGGCCACCGAAACGCCGAGCCCGAGCAAATTAATCACGAATTACCGACGAGAAAGAGGAAAGTTACAATGTCTCGCGACGATTCTGCGGACCGGAATCATTCCCGCTGGAGAATGGAGTTAAAACAAAAACAGCCGACACACACACACACACACACACACACACACACACACACACACATACACACAAAAAAAAGAAGAATTGGAGCAATTCGAGGCGCTTTTTACGCGCAAATTTGAATGCCAGTTCCGTGGCAGCGCGCAGTTACCACATCACCGCAGACGTTTCTCCATTATTGCCGCACGCACAGACTCCTCTCCTCTTCTCTCTTCCAGAGAGAGAAGCCTTAATCCACAGTTTCTCTCCTCCCGCCGTCAGAGAGGCAGCACCCTAAAAA